GTACATTCTTCTCATGGCTAAATAATATTGTGGATTGTTTCCACATTTTGGCTATTATAAATAATGCTGCTATGGACATTTATGTAAAACTTTTTTGTGTGTGGATGTATGTTTTCACCTCCCTCTCAAAATTAATTAGCCTAACAAAGCAAGTCATTTGTATTTATTTAAGGAGAACCACTTAAAAATCCTACTTGGAGAATGCAACTTATGATCTTAGTTCAACTAATCAGTCAGAAGACCCCTGAAAAATGGTCAACTTCCCCATATATCCAGAAAAATTTTTCTTTGAGCCTATCATTTATAGATGATCATCAATTTCATGGAGATTGATTCAGGACTGTAGAAATTGAGTTGTCATTACATAGAGGATTTCTAAATTCCCCAGAATTGTTTTAAAGAACAGTTACAAATCATGCTGGTGAGGAGCACTCATTCAGTCTTTAAGGACTTGATGAAGGAAGATTTTAAATATACGATTTATTTTATATATCAACTATCTTTTAAAGTTTGGATTTTCCTTTTTGAAAAAAGATTGTCAAATCACCAAACCATCTGACTGTTCATTGTTGCATAGGTTTTTATTATTAAGTAATAATTCATACTGAGAGAAAAAGTAAAAAGAATGTATTTTGTGTGCAAAGGATGAATGTATCTTAAAAATCTTTTTATTTGTAACCATTTTTTTAAAAAGTTGAATGGAATTTGCTTTCTCATGTACTTGTATATAAATAAACATTTCCTGTTGCCCACATGTGGAGAATAATATGCATCAAAGTATGTAAAAAGCAAATAAGCTTTAAGAATACGAATGTCCTGCATATGATATGGAATGTGTCTTGGATCTGGGAATCTGGAGACCTGAGTTGGAGTGTTGATTCTCTAACTGGCTAGCCCTGGGTGAGTCATTTAACTTTTTTTTTTTTTAATAATTATTTTATTCATTATTATTATTTTCTTATACTTGGTCAGAGAGAGGGAGGGATGGAGGGAGGGAGCAAGCTGCCAGGTCCAGGACTCAAACCGCACTCAGCCATACGGGGAGTCCAGTCCCTCAACCACCACGTCACCTGCCTGCCCCATCATTTAACATTTTGTACTAGTCTTATCTGTATAATAAGGGGCTAGATTATATTGTTTTCAATGTCTCCTCTAATAACACTAAATAAGATGACTCTGCTAGACTCAGGATGTGAATTATATGCTAATTATTTATATTGGTGAGGATTTTTTTTTTAAAGGATTTTGCCACAGAGCACATGTGCTTGCTAGAGAGAGAGAGAGCCAGTGAGAGGGAAAGTGAGAAATCAGCACACACACACCCCCCCCAGGGGAGATGGCCACACCACAATCCCTTCTCCTTTACTCTCCTCCTGGGATTTTGGGCACACAAGAATGCATGCCTAGTATATGTTTCAAGTCATTGATCCAGGACTCAAATCATGGTTGGCCAAATAGATTCCAGTACCTTTAACCACCATGCCACCTGCTGGTCCGACGTGAAGATATTTTATACTATGATATACTGGAAGGATTAAAACACTGAGAATCAAGAGTCATAAATCCTCATCTCAGTTCTGACACTGAGAAGTAGAATGCATGCCTAGTATATGTTTCAAGTCATTGATCCAGGACTCAAATCATGGTTGGCCAAATAGATTCCAGTACCTTTAACCACCATGCCACCTGCTGGTCCGACGTGAAGATATTTTATACTATGATATACTGGAAGGATTAAAACACTGAGAATCAAGAGTCATAAATCCTCATCTCAGTTCTGACACTGAGAAGTCATAAATCCCAGTCCTAGACAGTGTTGACTTTAGGCTAATCATTTTCAGCTACAGGTCAAAATAACAGAAGGATGTATAAATGGACCAAATTGATGGAACAGCCAATTTCTCCAACAACAAAATATACAAATATAGGGACCAGCAGTTAGCATAATGGCTATGTTGCTGAACTCCCACATAGTTGACCGTGGTTAGAGCCCTGAAACTGGTGGCTTAAACTCACGCCAGGTGCATATGTGTGCATGCCCAAAATCTTGAGAGGATAATGGAGGAGAAGGGATTGTGTGGCCATCTCCCATGGGGGGTGATTTCTCACTTTCTGTCTCTCTGTCTCTGTCTTCCTGGTGAGCACACACGCCCTATAACAAAAACCTCTCAAAAAAAAATACAAATATAGACTAGTTAGCTATCTTCAGAACCCTTTCCAGATAAAACACATTATATACTTGCTTCTATATTCTTTAGGAGTATCACTTAAGATATCCTTCATAAGTAAGAATGAGATTATGACCCATCACTAGTAAAACATTTATTCACTATTCATTTGTTCACCATTTATTAAGCATATACCATAGGGCAGGTATAGCAATCTACCCTTTAGATGCCCCCACCTCCAAAGTAGGAATCACTTATTTGTACATTTTCATGAAATTCACCTCCACCCTCATCCTTGCCACTTACTCTCTGGCTGGGACATGCATTTCAGAGATGGATGTCTTAGATTAGGCATGAGTACAGTGGTAGGTCATGGAGCATGGCAGAGTCAACAGGATGACAAAGAGATCAAACCTATGTCTTTGGGCTTTTTGGCATGGCATTCTTTGATTAATTTTACACAGGTCACCTGTAATCTTACCTGTCATCATCTAGCATTTATAAAATTTTGGACTTTGCAAAAAATCACTCGCTATTATCTTTCAAGAACAGCGTTTCTGCAGTTGGTATACTTTTTTAAAAAAAGAATTATTTATATAATTTTATCATTATCATTTATATAATTTATCATTATCATGATTATTTTTAAAAATTTGCTATGGTGCACATGTACTCACCAGAGAGAGAGGGAGGGTGGGAAAGAGGGAAGAAGATGGAGAAAGGAAGAGGAAAAGGAAGAAAGAGAGAGGGAGAGAAAGCAAGCTGCCAGTTCTGAGACTCTAACTGCAGTCAACCACTTAGGAGTCCAGCACCTCGACCACCATGCCACCTGCTGGCCCCCAGTATAAGAGTCTTATTTTATTTTAGGTTAGTACTTTCAGTAAAGGGATGTGTTTGCAAAAGTTTCTCTTCTGAATTTGCACATGTTGTGGTTTCTGAGTGTTCTAATATTAAGGTTAATTTGAAGCACATGAAGTTGTTTTCCTCATAGGTTAAAACCATCCAGATATTGGCAATTTTATGCAATTCTTATATGTAGTAAGTCATAAGTAGCAAAGACTGAGAGGCATAAACCATTAACTAGAGGAAAAACTAAAGTTTTTATCAGTCTAATTTGCTTCATTTTTTCTACTGAGGGGATTTGGGCAAGTTAGTTTGCCTTATGCATTCATTTTTCACTAGTTAAATAAGACAAATTGTAAACTTACATAGGTTTTTTTTGTTTGTTTGTTTTAGAGAGGTTTTTGCTATAGAGTACATGCACTTGCTGGAGAGACAGAGACAGAGGGACAGAAAGCAAGAAATCACCCCCCAGGGGAGATGGTCACACTGCAACCCCTTCTCCATTCTCCTCTCAAGATCTTGGGCACGCACACGCATACACCCGACACTAAGGTTTATTTTGTGTGTGTGTGTTTTTAAAGATAGATAGATTTGTTTGTTTGCTTATTTATTTATTTATTTAAATTTGACCAGAGAGGGGCAGAGTGAGAGCAAGAGAAAAGGAGAAAGAGAAAAAGTGAGAAAGCAAATTGCCAGGTCCGGGACTCGAAATGCTGTTGGCCATAGTCCAGCACTCTTAGCCACCATGCCATCTGCTGGACCCCCCACCATAAGTTTTAAGCCACTGGGTCCAGGACTCAAACTGTGATTGACTATGTCCAGCAACATAACCATTACACCATCTGCAGGTCCCCTTGCATAGTATTTTAAAATGCTCCTACATACATAAATCATTACAGATCACTGGAAGAAAGGTATAAATGCGGTTATTTAGAAAATATCTAAGTGTTGGGGACCAGTACTTTTAACCACCTAGGGCGCTGGACACTCCCACATGGCCGACCACGGTTCAAGTCCTGGACCTGGTGGTTTGCATTCTCTCTCTTGCTCTCTGGTCAAAAAAGAAAAGAAAAGAAAAGAAAAGAAAATATCTGTGTTTAGATCACTGTGCTTCTCATTAGGGCAATGTGATGCTCTGGGTACACAATTCTTTAACAAATTGGATATGAGTGTTTTGAAAAACTCTGAGGATAATTATTATTTGACTCAATCATTCCATATTTGCTGACTGGCAGCCTATACCTGATATATGTTATCTATAGACCCCAAAATACATCTGCAACTGAGAGACAAAACTGGGAACTATAGTTAAACCATAATCACATGAGTGTGCTTTTGGCCTGGTGCCCACATCTGAATATTTCAAAGACATTTCAGGAACTGAAATATCTTATTTTTATTACTTGTATGAAACTACATAATAATAATATAAGATATGCTATTGAAATTTTCATACCTCAAGTGTATTCAGGTTTCCCAGATATTATATCAATAGTTGTATTTTCATATCTTGATCAAAATAAGCCCAGTCAGGCCCTTCCAAAATACACCAGCAATGTATGTGAGTGCCCAAATCTAATGGACTGGAGGACTAGAAGAAGGGGATCGTGATGTGACCAGGCCCTGTGGAGGATGCCCATCTCTCTCACTCACTGCATGTACACAGGCTCTATTATGAGGCGGGGGAGAAGATATTCAGGAAATATTAGTTCTGTTCTCTTTTACTTTATTTTTATTTATTTTTTTAAAGGATAATGCTAACAATTTGGCCCAACAGACAGTTCTTTTACTAATCAATAGGTCAAGAGCAGAATTATTTGGTTCTTGAAAATTGTACAAGGCAAAATGTGGATGGAATATTGACCTGTGTGGCATATTGGTTAAAATTATTTGGCTACATATAATAATAATAATGATAACCCTGAGAAAACAAGACAGGGTTTCTTTTTCTTTTTCTCAATATAAAGTCTAGCTTTATTTTTAAAAAGATTTTACAAATCTGTCAATTCAAACATACATAGCAAATTATTCCTCTCTTCCATCAGATGAGGCTTACTGCTTCAATCCCTCCCATGAAAATATAAGTAAAAAATAAGTCTCCACAAATATGTATCCCCTATATTACTTGGCTTAGTTCAGAAATTTTCTCTTTATAAATACTTTAACACAACTAGTGGTATTACTGTGCTATGCAGATGCATAAAGCTGTAATTTACAGGTCTGCTTTACTTTTGCCAGCTCCCTAGTTTGGCTCCAAGGTCCAAATCTTATAAAGGGAGGAAAAACAAACAAACAAACAAACAAAATGGTTAACTGGGCTGCCAGAAAAGCCCACTGAATGCATCCTGTAGTGCTCTGTGACAAGCCAGAGAAGAAGTGTAGCCTCCAGCAAGATCCTGTGGAGAGGCAGCTCTGACGTGGTTTAAATACCCAAGTCTTCCTAGTACCTCGAGCTCAGGAACCTGTGGTCCATAAGTCTCTATTTGCAGTGGTTGGTATTCATACAGAGCTTCTTCAAGCTTGTGAATAGGTGCTAATGAAATATGTTGACCCATCTTGATGCCTGTGGAAAATGCAACTGGCTTTATAGGCTTGGGTTTCTCGAGTTGCATTTCCAGTTGAGTAGATCTGTCTTTATGCTGAGCCAAGAGGAGAGCAACAGGAAGATCTGAACTCTCCAGTTCATCTAAAAAAGTCTGTTTATTCTTCTTTTTTAGAATTTGCTGCAGTTGTTCTTCTTTTTGTATAGATAATCTTCTTTGTTCATTTTCCTGACGTTCTACTTCTAATGCTTCTTCTAATTCTTCCTGTTCCTGAGTCATCTTTAACTTATTTTTCTGAATGACATCTTTGTTTTCCTTTTGGTATATCTCCATTTTCTTTTTAGTGTTATCCAAATCCACATTGTTGGTCAAGTTGAAAACAATTTCTTCCACTTCTTCCAGGAAATCATTGTATTCTCTTAGACTAGGAAAATCTTCTTCCCTTTTATTGTATATCTTTAGCACTTTTTTTCGAATCTTCACCTCTTTGTCAACAGCAGGATCTTCAAAGAGTTGTACACTGAAGTTGCTCTTTCTAAGTGGAGTGCCACACTCAGGACAATTGCCCCACCGACAAGCCCCCTCAGACCTGACGCAAAGCAGGATCCTACCCAGGGTTTATTTTTCTTATTAAAAGTCTAGATGTTGGTAGCCTGGGATTAGTGGTTTGATGGCATCATTGATGACTTAGGCAATCTCTCACTGTGACCTCTATTTTCAAGATCACCTTAGTCACCAAAATGGCTGCTAGAGGCTAGCTATCATGTCTCAGTCCCAGCAACAGAAAAGGAAAAAGGAAGAACAGTCTGGTACCTTCATTTTAAGGAGACTTTTTAGAGTTCTTTGCAACATTTTCATTGATCTCTCTTTGGCCTGCAAAGGAAGCAGAGAAATATAATCTTTTAGCAGGGAATATTGTTACCCTGAATTAAATAAGAATTCTGTTACTAAGGAGAAAACAGAGAATGGATAATAGGGTAGGTAGTTACCAAACTTTGCCTTAATGTTAGTGGAAAGAACATGCTTTTATACACAAAAGGCCTGTGATTGAACTCTGGCTCTACCATATAATGACTGTGACCTTGAACAAGATATTATACCTCTGTGCCTCAATTGTTTGGTCTCTAAAATTGGACTAAGACCATATACTGCAGTGTTATTGGGTGGATTAAATGAAATAATACCGGTAAAGGACCATAGTCTGGCATATCATAGGCACACAATAACTAAAACTACATATATGAAATATGGAATTAGTCATCCAGAGTCAGCCAGTGACAGTGATTAAGGCAGCTGGATCCCACATAGCTGTGCAGATTAAGTACCAGATCTGGTTGCTGCACTGGATGCATGACCATGCATGCCCAAAATCCCGAGAGGAAAATAAGAGAAGGGACTGTGGCAGGTCTCACGTTTTTTTTTTCTCTCTCCTCTGTTTCTCCAGTGAGTGCACACACCCTCTAGCAAATCAAAATAAATAAATTAATCCATTAAAAAAATAAGTCATCTAGCTGTCATTGAGAGATGATATCTAGTTAATCACACTGATTGGCCACTCAGAGTTACAGGTTTAAGATGAGAACTACCCTGTCCACTTCTTGTGTTATATAAGAAATTCCCCAAATTCTGAGACCGTAGATGGTGTCATGGTTGTCGCTGGACTCCCATGTAGTCAACTGCGGTTCGAATCTTGGACCTGGTGACTTAAAACTCAGGTCAGGCACATTTGTGTGTGTACCCAAGATCCTGAGAGGAGAAGGAATTGTAGCATGGCCATCTCCCAGCTGGGGGTGACTTCTTGCTTTCTGACTCTGTTTCTCCAACAAGTGTACATATCAAAAATCTCTCTCTCAAAAAGAAAAAAGAAAAAAGAAAAGAAATCCCGCAAATTCAAGGAAGGAGAGTTATATTGTCAATGATGTTTATTGACTTCAGTTAACTTAATCATGTCCACTTAACTTATTCAAATTAATATTTGCTCAGATATTTTCAATGAATCCCATCAGCTGTTACCAGCTGAACTGCAAGTCCAGGAGAAGTAATCTGTTTGAGGACTGATGAAATATATTTTGCCAAACACAATACCTTAAGTTTAGGTCTCCACATCATGAGGAAATGCTTCTCTATCCACATTAGGACTCTGTTTTAGTTATCTTGGATAATATACATTTTCATGACATATGTGGTTGGTTGCTTTTGTGATTACTGGAGTCATAATCAATAGCAGTATATATAGCACCTGGATCTGGAAAAAGGTACTGTTGTTTCTATAATACCAGCCTGGCCCTGAACCTTTATAGTTACTTATACAAAATGAAAGGCTGCTGGTCAGTCCTGGGTTTTGTCATGCCATGAGTTACCACTTCTCACTCAGGGCAAGGAAAGGATGGACACACATGTGACTCTTGGCAGAGCTGGTACCGCTTTTTTTTTTTCCTTATAATAAAATAATTATTTTAATGAAGTATTTGAAATAATTTTAAACATCTGATCAATAAGATTATACACAAATACAGGTGTACGCTGCACTTTTCAAAAAAAATAAAGGTAAGCATTTAAATATACAAAAACAACTTTGGGTATAGATCTCTTCTAAAAGTATTCTTTTAACATGTACATACTTTATAGCATTTTACATAACTTGGTGAAACAAAAAAATGTGGCCAATTTAAAACTTACTACAGTATAGAACATGGCCATAACAGTCCCACCGGGAAAAGGATGAAGAGTAGCATTTGAGGTGTTTCCCTCCCCCCCCCCAAATTCTTTTTTCTAAGCACCACAGCATTTCTTATTCTTTAAAAACCTTCTTGGATATTTCAGTCATTCTTTATATAAATGATTCTAACTGCAGTTATTTTATTTTACCAGCTGAATTTCACATGGGTCAAATTGGAAAAGAAAAAAAAAGAGGGTCTGCTTTGCACACCAACCTTTCTCAGATGACTATGTATAACACATAACACACTTTTCGTATTTAGAGCGAAGATCTCCAAGGGTGAGATGCTGACGTGACCTTTTTAAGTTCAGAATGCAAAATGGAGTTCTGCTAAACATTTCTAATTATGAATTACGATTTTTTTTTAATGTGGCAAGATACCTAAAACGTTGGATAACTAAAAGATTTTATGAGAGATGGAAATACTAAAACCATCTTTCCTGGAATTTCAAACAATGCACAACAAAAAAATTTTTCCTTCTGAAATACTGTCATGTGAAAATGTGTGATACATTTTCCTTTTTTGATTGAGCTGTGATTTTTTTTTAATCCATCAATAAAACATGTACAGTCACTTTGGAGTTCCACCCCTGCCTCTGTTGGGCGCATGCAACACATTTCCTGTCTTATGATTCCATTTTCATTTTCCCCTCTTCAATTTGAACTCAATGTCCCATCCTTTCCACCTTTTCCATTTTCTATTGAGGTATATCAGCTGCTTCAAATTTAAGGTTTCCTTGACAAAATTGTCCGCTCACTTGGTAGAAGTAGCACATAGTGGTATGAACCAGAGAATTAGCAACCTCAGGCACAAACTATCCCTATTTGTCTCATGTTGACAACACTGGGCCTCAGCTAACCAAAGTCACCATAGGCCCTACTCTGTGGCCTGTCACCTTCAACCACAGAAAGTGACTGTCATAGTTAGCTAAGCAACTTCTGATTCTAGCACAGAAAAGCTTTGGTGCCTCTTGTTAGCAGAAAATGCCTTTACTCTGTGAGGCAGCTGTGAGGAAGGGACAGGGGCCAAGTGGTCCTGCACTTCACTTGGCAACAAAAGGGAATTGCAGAAGTAGACTCTTCTTTTATTAGGTTTTTGTTGTAGAGTGTGTGCGCTCACCAGAAAGACAGAAAGAGAGAGGGAAAATAAGAAATCACCCCCAAGGGTGGATGGCCACACCACAATCCCTTCTCTTTTCTTCTCTTCTTAGAATATTAGGCACACATGTACACATGCCTGGCGTGATCTTCAAGCCACCAGGTCTGGGACTCGAACCATTATCAGCCATGTAGGAATCCAGCACCTTAACCATCATGCCACCTATTGGCCCCTGATTATTTTTTTTTAAAGAATTATTTTACTCAACTTTATTTATTTATTTATTTTAAATTTGATCAGAGAGGGAGAGAGAGAGAGAGAGATAGAGAAAGATAGATATGGGGAAAGCAAAAAAGCAAGCTACCAGGTCTGGAACTTGAACTGCACTTAGCCATGTGGGAGTCCAGTGCCCTTAACCACCATGCCACCTACTGCACTGGTGATTTTTTTTTTTTTAATAGGTAAATGAAGTTCTCTCTCTTTAGACAATTTATTTTAATCACATTACAGATTAGGCTTAAAAGCAAGTGATGGGTCAGAGAAACACTGCCAAATACTTAACTGACATTTGATATTACATTATTCAAAGAGCTGCAACCATCAGTCAGTGAGAAGGAAGGTGTTTCACAGGAAAATGCCTAGCTTGAGGGGTGGGGGCTCCTGCAACATTTCCCCTTTGTCTCACCTCAAGAGACAGCGCAATATCCTGGAAAGCCAGGACTTTGGCTCTGCCACTTTAATTAGTCATGTGGCCGTGGCCTTGAGTGGGTTACTTGACCTTTCTTTTTTTTTGGAGAGGTTTTCGCTATAGGGCCTGTGCGCTCGCCAGACAGACAGAGACATAGAGACAGAAAGCGAGAAATCACCCCCCAGGGGGGATGGTCACGCCGCAATCCCTTCTCCTCCATTCTCCTCTCGGGATCTTGGGCACGCACGCACGCACACGCGCCTGGCGTGAGTTTTAAGCCACCAGGTCCGGGACACGAACCGCGGTCGACTACGTGGGAGTCCAGCGACAAAGTCATTACGGTAACTGCTGGTTCCCTTGACCTTTCTTTATAGTCACTTTGTAGATTTTACAGAAATATCTTCCTCAGTTCTCATAGGTTACTTGTAAGGAGTAAATGACAAAAGTATGTAAGATACCTAATACATGGTTTAGAAAGTTGTTCCAAATGTCCAAGTCTTTTGCTTCCCCCATTACAGTGTACATACACCCTTTTTTAAAAAAAAAAAAAAAATTTTTTTTTTAGAGGTTTTTGCTGTAGGGTACATTTGCTAGCCAGACAGAGACAGAAAGGAAGAAATCACACTCCTTCCACCCCACCCCGGGGGGGGGGGGGGGGGGTGCAATCCCTTCTCCATTCTTCTATTGAGATCTTGGGCACTCATGCACATGTGCCCAGCATAAGTTTTAAGCTACCAGATCTGGGACTTGAACTGTAGTTGACTACATCGGAGTCCAGTGACATAACTATTATGCCATCTGCTGGTCTCATACACCCCTTTCTTTCTTTTCTTAAAGTACTTATTTATTTAATTCTCTTTGTTATTATTTTTTTAAAATTTGATCAGTGAGAGACACAGGGAGAGAGAAAGCAACTAGGTATGGGACTTGAACTATGGTTGACCACATTGTTGCCTCTAACCACCACACCAACTGCCAGCCCCACACCCCTTGCTTTTAAAAAAAAAATTTAAGGTCAGTCACACAGCACAGTGGCTAACGAAGCCAGATTCCACAGTGACCATGGTTGTAATTCTGACCCCAAGGCTTGAAACACAAGCTGGGCACATGTATGTGTGCCCAAAATGGCAAAGGGATGAAGAGATGGAGAAGGAATTTTGTTGCAACCATCAGGATGCCTCACACTTCATAACCCAATTTTATATAATATGAATGTGACCCTTGGCAAGACTTTTATCATCCATGGGTCTGTTTCCTCATTTATGAGATCTAGATTAGTACTTTTAACACTAAGTGCACATTAGAATCACCTGGAGAGTTTTCTTTTTCATTGCCAGAGGCAAAGAGACAGAGGGAGAAAGATCCCTCCAATGGTATGTGGTTATGCTGCAATCCCTTTTCCATTTCTCCATCTTGTTGGGAATGAGGGCATGCATGCACATGTCTGGTGTTTCCCAAGCCACCAGGGCCAGGTTTTGAACCATGGAATCTCACTCCCTTAACCACCAAGCCATGGAAATGACCCACCTAGAGATTTTAAATAATTTATATTGGGAGGACCTGCAGATGGAGTAATGGTTACATTGCTGGACTCCCACATAGTCTACTCATTTGGAATCCTGTGCTGGAAGACTTAAACTCATGCCAGGTCCATGTGCATGCATGTCCAGAATCCTGAGGAGAATGGAGGAG